CAGTGCCAGACACCCCCCAAAACAGTGCCAGGCACCCCCCAAAAACAGTGCCAGGCACCCCCCAAAACAGTGCCAGACACCCCTTAAACAGTGCCAGGCACCTCCCAAAACACTGGTACCCCCTAAAACCTCGGCACCCCCCAAAACTCTAACAACCTCCCAAAACACTGGCACCACTCCAGACTTTTGTCACTCCCTCAGACCCTGTCACCCCCCTCCAGGCCATGTCACTCCCCCAAAACCCTGTCACTGCCCCGGATTTTGTCACCTCCCCAGACCCTGTCTTATTTTAAGGATCTGGATGTCTGGGACTCTGCTCTGGGAAACCTGGGGTGGAGCTGGTGAGGAGATCTGGTTGACTGTGAGTGTGGGGCTGTGAAGGGGCTTCGGTTCCAGCTCAGGTGGTGTGGGAGTGACTTCCAGAGTGCTCCTGGATGGTTGGACAGGGATGTTTCCTAAACAGGCTGTCCCCAGGTCTCCTCAGTCCTGCACATCTCCCACAGGAGCAGGATGAACTCTCCATCACCCGTCACCAGTGGCAGAGCCATCCCCATGTGCAGTGGGGTCTGTGGGATGAGAGCCCTCTGGGGAGCCCCAGGGCTGGAAGAGAAGCCCCAGGGAAGCTGCTGGCAGAGGGAGCCAGGACAAGCAGAGAGGGGTCACTGCACTACAGCCTGTGTTTCTTTATTCTCCTCCTCACTGCTGCTGGTTCAGCTGCTCTGCCAAGTGCATGAACATCTCTGTTCTCACTGAAAAGGACTGAGGAAAACCCAAAAGCCCTGAAGCCAAACCCTGCTTGTTTCACTCCTGCACCCCTCAAACTGTCTTTATGGACTCTGAGGCACCACTTTTGCTGCCACCCCTGCCTGGGCTGCTGAAGGCAGTAGGTGCCTGCAGGGGCAGATGTTATTTTACGAGTGTTATTTTCTGGTGTGCTGGGATCCATCTCTCACATCCTCAGAGTGTGCTGGGATCCATCTCTCACATCCTCAGTGGGTGCTGCCAGCCCACACGATCGTGGGGAGAGCAGAGGGGTGAGCCTTGGGGGGCCAGGTCTGCCCAGCCCCTTCCTAAACCCACCCAGGGGCTCCAGACACAGATGTGTCTGCTGGAAGCAGGGGGTTCACTCCAGGAGATGGGGGGGTCAGCAGGAACATTCCCTGCTTGGTTCCAGCCCACAGTTCCATCCCTCAGTCCCTGCCCTGGGGAAGGGATTTGGGACTCTAGGGCAGGGATTTGGGGCTGTGGGGCAGGGCTTTG